TTCAGAAATCAAGTTCATTCAGAGGCGACAGGCTGTTTCATGCTAGACGCAGTACTCTATAAAACAGCCTGTCGCCTCTGAGTGTTGACTTCAATGTTCACTTTTATATTTACATACGCTCTACTCTGATATTGAGCACTTTATCCCATAAATATATTTCTTTCATATATATATATATATATATATATGAAGAAATATATATATATATATATATATATGTGTGTGTGTGTGTGTGTGTGTGTGTGTGTGAAAATATATAGAAAATAGGAAGGAACTGGTTAGGTAAATAATCCAATGTTCCTTAGTATTTTAGTTATTATTTTTTAAAAATAGTGCTCGATAAAAAAGTAGAGCATAAATATAATTATTTATTTAAAAATATGATTCCAAATCGCGACATAAGAAGTCTCATGTTTCAAAACAAGAGCCGAAAACTTCAATATAATTATTTGAATTAAATTGAGTTAAAATAAGCTCTGTTCCATCTTCAAGCGAAATTTTTTTTTGAATAACGTATTTCTGAAATTTACGTGTTTTAAAAATTGAAATCAAAATTTCCATGGTAACAGCTAGGGCGAATTGTTTAAATTGGTTAGGCGTGTGTTGGGTGTTAATAATAAGTATCAGTATAGAGTTACTTTCATAGATGTCAAGTCAAGGAAAGGTGGGGGTGTCTAAATTTTAAACGGAAGATGTATTAACCCTCGTCTAGTTTGCATGTCTATGGAGATATATTTTAACTTGTGCTTGGAAAATCGATATATATATATATATATATATATATATATATATATATATATATATATATATATATATATATATATCAGCCTCTTCAATATCTATCTGTCTGTCTGTCTATCTATCTCAGTTTCTTTATTATCTGTCTATTTATCTATAATATATATATATATATATATATATATATATATATATATAGAGAGAAAATTTTCTCTATCTATCAGAATATATATATATATATATATATATATATATATATATATATATATTGTAGAATAATATAGACATTATGTTCTGTTTATTTCTTATTTTAATTCTCTCAAATTTTAACTGATCGACTTCTCAATGTTGTTATTAAACTCATTAAAGAAGGTGCCATTTTTCTTTCTCATTCCTTTTATTTTCCCAAGTAATTTCATTTTCATCTAAGATCATCTTCAGAGATCAATTGTTAAAACAAACAAAAAATTATGTAATTGTTAGTTGCGAATTTTTTTGTAAGTGCGCATGAAACGCGCTCTATTAGTTTAAAAAGTAACATTATCTAATTGAAGCAACTTATTATATATATATATATATTAAGAAATGGACAAGGTCCGACAATTTATTTATTAAAGACATATTTTATGTTTAACGTTGTTATTTTATAGATACAAGTATTATAGCAAATGCTCTGTTTATGATAAACAGTATTAAATAACATTTACCGGCCTGAATGTCCGAGAAATTTTCATAGAAAATATTCGTTCTTTTTGACAGGATTCGAACCTGCATCCTATACGGAACCGTTCATATACGCTGACGTGCCTTACCGCTAGGCTACAAAGAAGCGTTCGGTAGACAAGGTCGAATTTTTTACTGCTTATAAACCCAATTTTCCATGAATCTGCACATTCATAACTGCTCTGGCGTATCGAATGTAAACAAATGACGTCATATATTAAGAAATGGACAAGGTCCGACAATTTATTTATTTTATTTTATGTTTAACGTTGTTATTTTATATACAAGTATTATAGGCTCTGTTTATGATAAACAGTATTAAATAACATTTACCGGCCTGAATGTCGAGAAATTTTCATAGAAAATATTCGTTCTTTGACAGGATTCGAACCTGCATCCTATAAACATCAATATACGTGCCTTTAATAAATAAATTGTTCGGACCAAGTCCATTTTACTATAAACTAATTTTCCATGAATCTCGTCATTTGTTTACATTCGAATGTAAACAAATGACGCAGTTCCGACAATTTTTTAATAAAAATGAATGTTGTTATTTTATAGATACATTTTAGCAAATATTAAAATATGTAAAATATTGAATGTCCATATTTTATAACAGTTAATTTATACGACCTTGTCTACCATTATAACAGTAAATTGACCTTATTCATGGTGGCCGAGTGGTCAAGGCACGTCAGCGTATATGACGGTTCCGTATAGGATGCAGGTTCGAATCCTGTCAAAGAACGAATATTTTCATGAAAATTTTCGGACATTCAGGCCGGTAAATGTTATTTAATACTGTTTATCATAAACAGAGCATTTGCTTAAATACTTGTATCTATAAAATAACAACGTTAAACATAAAATATGTCTTTAATAAATATATATATATATATATTAAAATATATTTAGCTATTTCAAAACAGCCTGTTTTTTGTTGCATTCTTTGCAACGTACCAATATTTCGTGCAGTTCTCTCCAGTGGCGAAAAGTGTTTTCTGTGTAATACTGCCAACAGTGCCATACATTGGTTGTGACCAAGGGACGCTGAGACTTACACCGCAAGACCACGTCTAGACACACAGAATTCATGGGGGACTAGTTGGCAAGTGGTGCACTATGAGATGTTACCCACTGGCCAAACGATCCCAACGGACCTGTACTCGAAGCAGTTGGAAGCAAAAGGAGCCGGCATTGGTTTTATCGCAAGGATGTACTTTTTTTCTTCATGAAAATACCAAGTTAATTGTGGCGCGCTTGGTCAGGGATATCATACGGTCACTTGGCTTCCATCCATCTTACTACATGGACCTTGCGCCAACAGATTACCAACGCTTCCGTTACTAGACAACCACCTTCGTGGGAAACCCTTCGCAAATGAGTCATGATACTCTTGCCGGTGTGACCTCTATTTTTAAGAATCACTGAAAAATCCTTTGATTCAGCTAGAAAGAGAACGGGTGAAAATCGTTTTGTGTCAGAGCCACTCTCTTTCCAACTGATCAATGGTCAGGGGAAAAAGATGGTTGAAGCCTTCACTAATGGAACCAACATTCATACTCTGATTTCTATCTTCACAGTCCTATTTGTTTCATCAAACGGATTCTTTCAGTTAAACAGTGAACAGTTTGTTCGTTTTTATTAATTCTGTACATCGTTTCGGAGATATTTTAGGCTGGTTATTCAAAGCCAATACAATGTGTTTCCTGTTCGTAAGCTAGGTGCAAACGAATATGGACTCGATCAAACAATCAGTTATATAACAAAAACTGATCATCCGAATTCCGATGAATAGAATGCACAGCATAATCAGATCGGGAAACTACGCCACAGAGATCGATTATAACTGCTCAGCAACCTTAATCTGGGAGAGATTAGAATAATCAAGAAGCTATACTGGCAGCAAACTACCTGCTCACAGATAGATAATGCTTTCAGCAGATAGACAAAAATAGAAAGAGGTGTAAGACAAGGTTGTGTCTTCTCACTGGACTAATTCAACCTATACATCGAGGCGATTCTGGGAGAACTTGAAGTCTTACCATGATTCATTATTGGCGAACACAATCTTAACAACATAAGGCATGCAAACTATTTACATTATTCGGACTATTGTCCTCATCTTTATCGCCATATTTAAGTTCTCCACAACCTTAACCGGCTTTTGAACTCACACTCTTTGGGTCCTGTCACTGGATTTAACCAACGTCTTTATCCACTGTGCCTTGTGTCCTTGACGACACTGTCCTCATCTTTGTCGCCATATTTATTACAAAGTTTCGGCCGTTGTACGCACCGGCCTTCTTCAGGTGGTTGGAATGTCAAACTGAACCTTTTATTTCGTTCACTGGGGTAGACTGTTCTAGTTCCACGTGCCATGTTTAATGGATGTCAGTTATCAGTTATCTCCTGTTAATTTTCCCTCTGAAAGTTCTCCACTGCCTTAAACGGGTATTGAACTCACACTCTTTAGGTCCTGTCACTGGTATTTAACTGACGCCTTTATCCACTGTGCCATATGTCCTTGAGGACATTGTCCTCATCTTTGTCGCCATATTCATTACAACGTTTCGGCCGTTGTACGCTCCGGCCTTCTTCACGTCTTTGGAATGTCGAACTGAAACTTTTATTTCGCTCACTGGGATAGTCTGTTCTAGTTCCACGTGCCGTGTTTAATGGATGTCAGTTATCAGTTATCTCTTGTTAATTTTCCCTCTGAAAGTTCTCCACTGCCTTAACCGGGCATTGAACCCACACTCTTTGGGCCCTGTCACTGGATCTAACACCTTTATCCACTGTGCCATGTGTCCTTGAGGTATGCAGATGACACAGTGTTGATGAGACACGGAAAGAAAGCCACGAAGATTACTACAGAAGGCAGTGAAGGAATGCGAGAAGAAAGAAGAAAAAATGCATGATTGTTAGCAAAAAGATGAACCCAATGTGCGACTTACGAACCAGAGGTACCAAAAATGGAGAAATAGAAAGGGTTGCAAGACAAGGATGTGTCTTCTCACCGGACTTATTCAATCTATACAGCGAGGCAATCATGAGAGAATTAAAACCCCTACCAGGATTCATTATTGGCGGCCACAATCTTAACATAAGTTATAAAAATCATACAGTGTTTAAGGCAGAGACAGAATGAAAGCTACAGAAACCAACTACAGAAGATAATGAAGGAAAGCGAGAAGAAAGGATTAAAAATCAAGTGCAAAAAGACAGAATGCAGAGTTGTAAGCAAAATGATGAACCCTATGTTCGAATTTCGAATCGGAGGTACTAAAATCTAACAAGTTCGGAAAATTAAATACCAAGGAAGTCATTTAACAGAGGATGAAAAGAACGACACTAAAATCCGAAAGCGTATGTGGAAAGCCAAGGAAGCATTCCAAATGTTAAGCAGGGAAATAAGAAATAGGAAAACTTCGCTGAAACAAGGAAAAGATTACGAAACGCCACGACAGTGAATGCTGGACAATCTCTTCAGAAGCAACAGAAATGTGGTTCTGCAGAAGGATGCTGAGGATACCATGTATGTTAACGGACTCCCTACCTATCTCAATATTAGTTCCAAAAACGGCATGCAAAAAAAAAATAATATGTTATCCAAGGTAAGCGAGGTGATTCAGCATCTATCTATCTATCCATCTATCTATCTATCCATCTATCTATCTCAGTCTCTTCCATCTATCTATCTATCTATCTATCTATCCATCTAAAACCCCAGTCTCTTCATTTATTATCTTCTATCTATTATCTATCTATCTATCCATCTAACATCTATCCCAGTCTCTTCAAAATCTTTATCTATCTATCTATCTATCCCTATCTATCTATCTATCTATCTATCTGTATTCATTCATCTCCAGAAATCCATCTATCTATCTATCTATCTATCTATCTCAGTCTCTTCATTATCTATCTATCTATCTATCTATTCATCTATCTCAGTCTCTTCATTATTCATTCATCTATCTATCTTCTATTCATCTATCTATCTATCTCAGTCTCTTCATTATTCATCTATCTATCTATCTATCTAATGCTCTATCTATCTCAGTCTATCTATCTCATTCCTCTATTTCATCTATCTATTTCATCTCTTCGATCTACCTATCCTTCAAGTTTCCTGCATACCAATGTTGAGATAGGTAGGGAGTCCACATTAATACATGGTATCCTCAATTTCTGTTGCTTCTGAGGACATCTTTACAAACAAATGTTCCTATTTTGGGTACTCTGCAGACAGCATTCTGAGTTGATGTTTAATCCTTTCTCCTGATTTCATCACTACTTTTTGTAGGAGATATTGTAGTTTTTTCTGTGTTTGCTATCAACATTGCTGATCTGCATATCTACATTGTAAAGATTGTGGGAATAATGAACTTGCAGGACTTACCATCGCCTTGTATAGCTTAAATAAGTCCGGTGAGAAGAACCTTGTCTTTTACACCACTTTCTATTTTTTTGTTTCTGCTGAACCCATTTTTATCCGTATGCAGGCCGTTTTTGCCATTATTTTTTCTTACATACTAATGTTGAGATAGGTAGGGAATCCGTTAACATACATGGTATTCAAGGAAGTTGCTTCTGATTCAAAAAGTGACGTTTCGTAATCTTTTTTCCTTGTTTCGATTTCTTATTTCCCCTAGCAACATTTGAATGCTTCTTTTGGCTTTCTCAATAAGCCTTCGTACTTTAGTGACGTTCTTTCCATCCTCTGTTAAAAAAGTTCTGCAAGAAGAAAAGAATGCTCTGGATGAACCAAATGTCACTGCAAATCTGAGAAACCAAAATCAGCTCCAGAAATTAAATTAATCTGAAAGTGTTTTTTAACAGAGGAAAAGAGTGACATTGAAATCCGAAGACTTATTGGGATAAATCCAAAGATGCATTCAAAAGCTAAGCAGAGTATTAAGAAATAAAGAAATAGATTATGAACTGAGAGAACTGAAGTCCTGGATTCATTATTGGCACAGTGTTGATAGCAGACACGGAAAGAAAGCTACCAAGACTACTAAAGAATATAGTGAAGGAAAGCGAGAAGAAAGGATTAAACATCCACTCAAGAAGACAGACTGCAGAGCTGTTATCAAAAACATGAACCCAATGAGCGAATTGCAAATCGGAAGTACCAAAATCAAACGAAACAAAATGAAGATTGTGGTACTGATATCCGGAGACGTATTGGGATAACCAAAGAAGCATTCCAAAGCTAAGAGTATTAAGTTTCAGATAGTTTTTGGACAAAATGGAAAGGAAAGCAAGTAGACAGAATGCAGGGTTGTTTGCAAAAGATGAACCTTAATGTGCTAATTGCAAATTGGAGGAACCAAAATAAAATGATGGAATTTAACTATCTGGAAAGTGTTTTAACAGAAACGGAGAGCGATATTGAGATCCGATGACGTATTGGATAGCTAAGGAAGCATTCAAAAAGAAATTTCGACAGAAGCAAGGAAAAGAGTGCTCTTGATATCTGTCCTTCTGACACATGGTAGGAGAGGGTCTGAAAATGAAAATTAGACTTAAAGAAACCACGGGGATGTTGTGGACCATTGGTCAGATTTTTTGGAGAAAATGGAAACAAAAGAAAGAGGGAGAGAGGAAAACCCACGGGGCAGATAGAGGCAAGAGGGAGAGAGGAAAGCAAGTCATAACATACTTGGTGAGTTTGAGTAAATGGATAGCGGAACAGGGCTGTGGAGTGTTGTGGAGAGCCATGATCGACTACCTGTTGAAGGACACGGCTCATAAAGAACAAAGAGATTGCAGAATAGACAGGTGTTAATAATAATCTTGTTTACAAAAGATTTTTTGGATATCCGAATGGAACATGAGGTCACTTTAAAATTTAAATGATGTTTGATATCGCATCAATATGTGTCCCTTTGGAATCGGCGCAAATGAACGTCTTTTGCTTCAAAGACAGGAATTTCACTGCAATTGATTTAACATATTTATAAAGAGAATACACAAGGTCTGTACGTATTTACACTATCTATTTTCGGATTATTTTCCTAGTGTTTTTATGCTATCACAACGTTTCAACCAACTGAATTAAATCATTGGTTCGTGATTTTCGTTAAAAATGGATGTGAGTTCAATCCCCGGGCTTGGCAGTGTTTAGTGGACATTAGAAACGGGTGAGCTATAACTGAACAGTATCTGTCTGTATGAGGTATTATGTACACTATTTGTATTGCTCCGACTATCATCCTCGTCTTTGTTGCCATATTTATTACAACGTTCCGGCCTTTCAGTATCTGTCTATATTTCTGAAATGAGGTATTATGTACACTATTTACATTGCTCCGACTATCATCCTCATCATTCTTGCCATATTTATTACAACGTTCCGGCTTTTCTGTATCTGTCTATATTTCTGAGATGAGGTATTATGTACACTATTTACATTGCTCCGACTATCATCCTAATCTTTGTTGCCATATTTATTACAACGTTCCGGCCTTTCAGCATCTGTCTATATTTCTGAGATGAAGTATTATGTACACTATTTACATTATTCCGACTATTGTCCTCATCTTTGTTGCCATATTTATTACAAAGTTCCGGCCTTTCTGTATCTGTCTATATTTCTGAGATGAGGTATTATGTACACTTACATTGCTCCGACTATCATCCTCATCTTTGTTGCCATATTTATTACAACGTTCCGGCCTTTCAGTATATGTCTATATTTCTGAGATGAAATATTATGTACACTATTTACATTATTCCGACTATTTTCCTTATCTTTGTTGCCATATTTATTACAACGTTCCGGCCTTTCAGCATCTGTATATATTTCTGAGATGAGGTATTATATACATTATTTACATTATTCCGACTATTGTCCTCATCTTTGTTGTCATATTTATTACAACGTTCCGGCCTTTCAGTATATGTATATATTTTTGAGATGAGGTATTATGTACACTATTTACATTGCTCCGACTATCATCCTCATCTTTGTTGCCATATTTATTACAACGTTCCGGCCTTTCAGTATCTGTCTATATTTCTGAGATGAGGTATTATGTACACTATTTACATTGCTCCGACTATCATCCTCATCTTTGTTGCCATATTTATTACAACGTTCCGGCCTTTCAGTATCTGTATATATTTCTGATATGAGGTATTATGTACACTATTTACATTGCTCCGACTATCATCCTCATCTTTCTTGTCATATTTATTACAACGTTCCGGCCTTTCAGTATCTGTCTATATTTCTGAGATGAGGTATTATGTACACTATTTACATTATTCGGACTATTGTCTTCTTCTTTTTCGCCATATTTATTACAACGTTTCAACCGTTGTTCGTCCCACCATTGGAAAATTCTTAAAGTTAAGGAATCAGCACATATAGCTAGGCCACAAAAATCTCCCGAGCCGACCAAGCATAGAAATGAATACAATATGGGAACCAGTAATAAGGAGTGCTAGAGAAAAGCGATAATAACAACAAAAAATGCAATATGAGCTCTGGTAAAACATGCAATGATAACAACAAAAAATTGCTATATGAGCACTGGTAAAAAATGTTTGCTAAAGACATTAGATTTATAATACCCAGAAATTCATACACAGATGTCCTCAAGGACACATGGCACGTGGATAAAGGCGTTAGTTAGATCCACTGACAGGACCCAAAATGTGCGTGTTCAATACCCGGTTAAGGCAGTGGAGAACTTTCAGAGGGGAATTAACAAGATATAACTGATAACTGACATCCATTAAACATGGCACGTGGAACTAGAACAGTTTACCCCAGTGAGCGAAATAAAGGGTTCAGTTCGATATTCCAACCACCTGATGAAGGCTGAAACCTTGTAATAAATATGGCGACAAAGTTGAGGATAATAGTCCGAATAATGTAAATACTGTATATAACTGAACAGTATTATAAGAACGAGACGAAATATCTCTAGACAATTCCCTGTAAGCTACCCAGATCGATATATACCTCAAATTCAGAACAGCGGAAACATTGTGATGAAAGCAACAAAGATTAGGCCAATAATACAGATATATAATTAGTGTGAATTATGAAGAATCTGCTATTTTATTTCAGAGAGTCCGTTAATGGTTGATTCAAATACCTTAAGAAAGTCAAAATGGAAATAATTATCCACTCCTTCTTAAAGATTGTGGAATTTAGCGTCCAGTATAACATACCAAATGTCAGACGTCACTTAGACAAGGAAGTTGCTTGGTGTCTCTAGATTCTTAAAAATCTTTTTAAATTAGAAAAACCATTCATAAATTACTCTTCTGTTATCTTGGTGCACACCTGGCTGCATTTCAGGGTGCATTAACACGTTGGTTCCTATACAACCCACCGGAGGGTCTTCGTGATATTTCTGCTCATGTTTAGGGGTGTTATCCAGTGATTATGAGATCAATCGAGGATCGGGTAGTGTGTAATTGGAAACAGGCGATCTATAACTTAACAGTGCTATAAAAATAAGACATTGACGAAATATCGCTAGACATGGGCAATGAAACGAGAACTGTCTACCCTGTAGAATAAATAAAAATTTCAGTTAAAAATTCCCTGTAGGTTAACCAGATTGATATACACCTGATGAAGGCCGGGGAAAACAACGACCGAAACGTTGTGATAAAAACAACAAAGATGAAGAGAATAGTCCGATTATAAATAGTGTAAATCATGATAACTCTCCATCCCAGAAAGTCAGACAGAAATTCAGACATCAAATTTTACAACAAAGCGACCTTACCCGGAAATAAGAAGAAAATCACAAAATGGCCGAACGTCCGGTTTCTTTCTATTATTTAATATCGCGGAAAATTATATATTTTAGTAAAAGAACACGCTATACGTCTTACATAGTCACCAATCACCCTCGTTTCCTCAGTATTCCATCAGTGGGAAGAAAGTTCCACTAGGACAGCTTATTTTCACTAAGTACTGCGCTGTGGAATTGACTCTGAACAGGATGTTTCCCCGATCACTCCTATTTTAACCTATTAAAGTCTATAGTTAACTGTTATCATCTACTCTTATCCATATACACTGCCCCTTAACATAAAACTCTACCACGAGTGGCTCCCGGGATCAACCTCAGTATAAAAACAAAACAAATCTATCCCTTCCCAAACCAAAATTTTAAAAGTGCATTAAGCTACAAATCATTCGATGAATGTTACGATCCTTGTTTTTAAATTCATCGAGTGATTTGTAGGTTAATGCACCTTTAATATTTTGTTAGCGAAGGGATTTCGCCATTTTATATCATTAACTTTACTAATTTACTTTTTGTATTTTGTATGAATGATTCATTGCAATATAAATTGAACTGCACCATATTTGATATATATATATATATATATATATATATATATATATATATATATATATATATATATATATATCCCAGTCTGTTTCTATCTATCTATCTATATATCTGTCTATCTATCCCAGTCTGTTTCTTTCCTCTCTCTCTCCCCCTCTCCCTCTCTCTCTCTCTCTATATATATATATATATATATATATATATAGTTATATATTTAGGCAGCAATCCTTTTCTTTATGCATGTTTAATTAAAAACGACAGACAAGGTACTACGGTTAAGCTTTTTATTCAATTTTCCTTGTGTTCGAACAAGAGCTGTCTTTTCTCGACAAAAGGGTGTGTAAGAACTGTCCAAATGTTTTATAGTTCCTAGCGCTTTCGGCTATACCTTTAGCCATTATCAAGGATGATTCGATTTTTTCAGTTTAATTGTATGCGTGCGTTCTGTGTATGTCTTATATATATATATATATATATATATATATATATATATATATATATATATATATATATATATATGCGCAGGTATGCAGAAAATAGAAAAGAACACGTTGGGTGTATAATCCGGGAGTTCCTTAGTATTTTGTTTCTATTTTTAAGAAGACAGTGCTCCATACAGAATTAGAACTTATATTATAATATTTTTTTGTTTAAAAATATGATTCACTTCATACATAAAGTTCTCATGTTTTAAAAACGAGCCAAAACCATCCAAATAATTATTAAAAATTAAATTTAATTGAGGTGTTTGGTCCAGTTTCATCTTCAAGCGAAATTTTAGGATAAAACCTTTCAATTTAATTTTAATAATTATTTGGATGGTTTTGGCCTCGTTTTTGAAACATGAGAACTCTTATTAGCGAAGGAATAATAAAAAAAATATATATATATATATATATATATATATATATATATATATATATATATTCTCCAGTCTGTTTCTTTTTCAGCAATGCCGGATTTGCTACTGAGGCAGGAGTAAATGGTAGTGTTGTTGTATTTTCCACCCTCCTCTGTCTCTCTCTCTCTCTCTCACAACCGGATGTGGCAAGCCTCTCGCTGCTCTATCGCTATTTCCTTGGTTCCACCATGTCTAATCTTCACGGTTAGGACCCACCATGCCACTTACATAGTAGCAAACCACCTACATTCCGTCTATATTCCATTAGTAAGACTAAAGTTCCACTCGAACAGCTTCTTTTCGTGAACCATTGCTAATATTTTTTTTCAAAAATTTATCGCTGGTAATATTTTTTCCTTCAAAAATGTATTGCTGGTAATATTTTCTTTTCCTTCAAAAATGTATTGCTGGTAATATTTTTTCCTTCAAAAATGTATTGCTGGTAACATTTTTTCCTTCAAAAATGTATTGCTGGTAATATTTACTTTTCCTTCAAAAATGTATTGCTGGTAATATTTTCTTTTCCTTCAAAAATGCATTGCTGGTAATATTTTCTTTTCCTTCAAAAATGTATTGCTGGTAATATTTTTTCCTTCAAAAATGTATTGCTGGTAATATTTTTTTCCTTCAAAAATGTATTGCTGGTAATATTTTTTCCTTCAAAAATGTATTGCTGGTAATATTTTTTCCTTCAAAAATGTATTGCTGGTAATATTTTCTTTTCCTTCAAAAATGTATTGCTGGTAATATTTTTTCCTTCAAAAATGTATTGCTGGTAATATTTTCTTTTCCATCAAAAATGCATTGCTGGTAATATTTTCTTTTCCTTCAAAAATGTATTGCTGGTAATATTTTCTTTTCCTTCAAAAATGTATTGCTGGTAATATTTTTTCCTTAAAAAATGTATTGCTGGTAATATTTCTCCTTCAAAAATGTATTGCTGGTAATATTTTGTTTCCCTTCAAAAATGTATTGCTAGTAATATTTTTTCCTTCAAAATGTATTGCTGGTAATATTTTTTCCTTCAAAATGTATTGTTGGTAATATTTTCTTTTCCTTCAAAATGTATTGCTGGTAATATTTTTTTTACCTTCAAAAATGTATTGCTGGTAATATTTTCTTTCCTTCAAAATGTATTGCTGGTAATACTTTCTTTCCTTCAAAAATGTATTGCTGGTAATAATTTTTCCTTCAAAAAATGTATTGTTGGTAATATTTTCTTTTCCTTCAAAAATGTATTGCTGGTAATATTTTTCCTTCAAAATGTATTGCTGGTAATATTTTCATATCCTTCAAAAATGTATTGCTGGTAATATTTTTTCCTTCAAAATGTATTGCTGGTAATATTTTCTTTTCCTTCAAAAATGTATTGCTACCTAATATTTTTTCCTTCAAAAAATGTTTTGCTGGTAATATTTTCTTTTCCTTCAAAATGTATTGCTGGTAATATTTTTCCTTCAAAAATTTATTGCTGGTAATTTTGTTTTCCTTCAAAATGTATTGTTGGTAACATTTTTTCCTTCAAAATGTATTGTTGGTAATATTTTCTTTTCCTTCAAAAATGTATTGTTGGTAATATTTTCTTTTCCTTCAAAAATGTATTGCTGGTAATATTTTTCCTTCAAAATGTATTGCTGGTAATATTTTCTTTTCCTTCAAAATGTATTGCTGGTAATATTTTCTTTTCCATCAAAAATGCATTGCTGGTAATATTTTCTTTTCCTTCAAAATGTATTGCTGGTAATATTTTCTTTTCCTTCAAAATGTATTGCTGGTAATATTTTTTTTCCTTCAAAATGTATTGCTGGTAATATTTCTCCTTCAAAAATGTATTGCTGGTAATATTTTGTTTTCCTTCAAAATGTATTAGCTGGTAATATTTTTTTCCTTCAAAAACGTATTGCTGGTAATATTTTTCCTTCAAAATATATTAGTTGGTAATATTTTTTTTTCCTATTTCTGGTAATAATAATGTATTGGTGGTAAAATTTTTCCTTCAAAATGTATTTCTATAATATTTTCTTTTCTTTAAAAATTATTGCAAAAAATTTTTCCTTCAAAATGTATTGCTGGTAATTTTTCCTTCAAAAATGTATTGCTGGTAATATTTTTTCCTTCAAAAATGTATTGTCTGGTAATATTTTCTTTTTCTTCAAAAATGTATTGCTGGTAATATTTTTCCTTCAAAATGTATATTATCTATAATATT